TTTCCTGTACTTTCCCACTCTAACTGTACTCTTTGTACATATGTCCTTGGACAGTTCAACAAAGAGGCAGTGTGAGTCACAAGCCTTATCTCACCCTACTCCCTAACAGCTCCTCACATTAATCACAGCTTGTTATGTTGGCCAATTTATATCAGTACAGTACAAACCTTTTATGTTTAATCATTAATGCTTTCTTATTAAGCTAACAGCACATCTAAAATATAAGAGAATAATTTCCCACAACACCACGGTATCCATCCTCACTCACAAAAAGAGTCTCTGTCAGAAAACACAACTGACTGGCTTTTCAAACAAGGGGATGTGTGATGTGATTGGGTAATGAAAACCAGAAACAGGTGGTGCAATCAGGAGAACTGGCCACTGATTGGTCCACCTCAGCAATCAGCTGATGAACTGATGACTGACAGGTGGGACACACTAACGACTCCAATCAGGAACACAAAGAACACCTGTGATTAGGGCAGAAGGAGAGGAAAAACACAAATACACATACAGGATACCTGTATCCGTAACATGGGCATACTCAAAATAGTCCAAATTGGTGAAGTGAAATTTTTCAAAAAAATAACGGAGAAGTGGTGCATGCGTATGTATTCACCCCCTTTGCTATGAAGCCCCTAAATAAGATCTGGTGCAACCAATTACCTTCAGAAGTCACATAATTAGTTAAATGAAGTCCACCTGTGTGCAATCTAAGTGTCACATGATCTGTCACATGATCTCAGTATATATATACACCTGTTCTGAAAGGCCCCAGAGTCTGCAACACCACACTAAGCAAGGGGAAACACCAAGCAAGCGGCACCATGAAGACCAAGGAGCTCTCCAAACAGGTCAGGGACAAAGTTGTGGAGACGTACAGATCAGGGTTGGGTTATAAAAAAATATCAGAAACTTTGAACATCCCAGTGAGCACCATTAAATCCATTATTAAAAAATGGAAAGAATATGGCACCACAACAAACCTGCCAAGAGAGGGCCGCCCACCAAAACTCACGGACCTGGCAAGGAGGGTATTAATCAGAGAGGCAACAAAGAGACCAAAGATAACCCTGAAGGAGCTGCAAAGCTCCACAGTGGAGATTGGAGTATCTGTCCATAGGACCACTTTAACCCGTACACTCCACAGAGCTGGGCTTTACAGAAGAGTGGCCAGAAAAAAGCAATTGCTTAAAGAAAAAAATAAGCAAACACGTTTGGTGTTCGCCAAAAGGCATGTGGGAGACTCCCCAAACATATGGAAGAAGGTACTCTGGTCAGATGAGACTAAAATGGAGCTTTTTGGCCATCAAGGAAAACGCTATGTCTGGCGCAAACCCAACACCTCTCATCACCCCGAGAACACAATCCCCACAGTGAAGCATGGTGGTGGCAGCATCATGCTGTGGGGATGTATTTCATCGGCAGGGACTGGGAAACTGGTCAGAATTGAAGGAATGATGGATGGCGCTAAATACAGGGAAATTCTTGAGGGAAACCTGTTTCAGTCTTCCAGAGATTTGAGACTGGGACAGATGTTCACCTTCCAGCAGGACAATGACCCAAAGCATACTGCTAAAGCAACATTTGAGTGGTTTAAGTGGAAACATTTAAATGTCTTGGAATGGCCTAGTCAAAGCCCAGACCTCAATCCAATTGAGAATCTGTGGTATGATTTAAAGATTGCTGTACACCAGCGGAACCCATCCAACTTGAAGGAGCTGGAGCAGTTTTGCCTTGAAGAATGGGAAAAAATCCCAATGGCTAGATGTGCCAAGCTTATAGAGACATACCCCAAGAGACTTGCTGCTGTAATTGCTGCAAAACGTGGCTCTACAAAGTATTGACTTTGGGGGGGTGAATAGTTATGCATGCTCAAGTTCTGTTTTGTTGTCTTATTTCTTGTTTGTTTCACAATAAAAATATTTTGCATCTTCAAAGTGGTAGGCATGTTGTTAAATCAAATGATAGAAACCCACAAAAAATCAATTTGAATTCCAGGTTGTAAGGCAACAAAATAGGAAAAATGTGAAGGGGGGTGAATACTTTCGCAAGCCACTAACTGCAGACAAACGCATCTTGTAGCCATCAATGAGCTTGCTGCACCTTTCTACTGGCACTTTGGCCCACTTTTCAGCAGCAAACTGCTCTAATTCTTTAATATTTGAGGGGTGCCTTCCACCAACTGCTGTTTTCAGATCTCGCCATAGGTTGTTGATGTTTTAGATCTGACTCTTCACTGGCAACTCCAGAACAGTCCAGCATCCCTTAACCATTCCTGGGTGCTTTTTGATGTGGGTGTTTGGTGTCGTCATCCTGCTGGAAAGATCCAGAACCTTCAATGGAGACACAGTTTTTGGACACTGGGTTGAACATTGGACAACAAAACACATGACATTTTGTATTGCCAATGAGCTCCGATTTTGTTTTATTGGTCCACAGAACATTTCCCCCAGGATTTAGGCTTGTTTAGGTGGGTTTTTGAGAAGTTCAATAGTGCTTTCTTTTGTCTCCTTCAGCAGTGGGGTCTTCCTATGTTCACCAATGACCAAATGAAGCATTCAAAGAAAATAACACCCTCCCTACAATCAATTATGGGGGAGGTTTGATAATGCTGTGGGTTTGCTTTGCTGTCTCTGATACTGGGGGACTTGAATGTGTGCAAGACATCATGAAATCAGAAGATTATCAAGGTGTTTTGGAGTGCAATGTTCGACCAAGTGTCCAAAAACTGTGTCTCTGTTAAAGGTTGTGGGTCATCCAGTACGACAACAACCACAACAAACACACATAAAAAGTAGAAAGATGCAGCAAGCTACAAGAACCCTTTGTTGGCAAAGGCTGTGCAACCAAGTTCTAGCTATGGGTGACAATTTTGTCCATGCCATTTGTCTTTATTTTCTAAAGTAAAATTGTAAACTTAAGTTTACAAAAATAAAATAGGTTCTGCAATGTTGAAAATTCAATAACAAGGTGGAGACCAAATCTATTTTTTTCAATTTCAACTTATTTTATTTGAAATAGGGAATAAGTTAAGAAAGGTGCAAGGGTACCAATATATTTGGCCTCAACTGTATGATTCAGTTTTGATAGCAGTTTAGAAATTGAGTTTTGACTACAGTTTTTGATAGCAGAATTAGAATCAGAGGCACCTTTAGAGGCTATATAAAAAGGCGTTCTCTTATTCTGACAAGATGAGGAGGTTGAAACCTGATGAAAGATTGTTTTCAACCATATGCCTCTGGCAGTTTCTGTCACCAGTCAGAGTCATTATATATATTTTTGATTGCAGAGTACCACGGAACCTAGTTTTACAGATAGATGGCCACAATATGAACAAAGTGTAAAGGTAAAAGTGGAACAAATAAGGATGATGTAATTATATAAAGACAATACACAACTTTCTTCACTTCATCACTGATCAGTTCCCCATAACTGTGGGATGTACTGTAGACATGATGGCCAGTGGTAGAATGATGCTGAAAACAGACTTACAAACCAAAAGTATCTTTAAAAATGAATAAATTAAAAACAGGATATATACAAAAATATTAGCATTAAGGATATTTATGTACAATTTCCCAATGACAGTGGATATTTAAAATGCCAATTCAGCTTCCCAAGCCACTGGAAAGCTGAGTCCTCATATCTTCAGAATCATCTCTCCATCATTCCATGAAAACAAAACCACATTAATTACCTCCAAAATGACCAGCAGCTGCACTGATAACACTTTTCAAAGAATATATTGTGAAAGGTCTAATGGTTAGTCCTTTGCTGAAAATAACTGAAAACCATTGTAGAACATTGACTGGGTTTTAATCTGAATGTTTGAACAACCAAAGACTTAAAATCCATTCCTTAGATATGGGATGGAATACGGATGGTATTATTAGGTATGCAGTACACAAGTGTTTGAGCATGATTCACAAATAAGTTGATTATCATTGGAGTATATAATTACAGGGAAACGCTTATTGAACTTTGTAGTAAGAAAAGTTAATCAAGAGTAATAAAAATACACTTTAAACAATAGAAGAGAGTAGAAAAGAGTAGTTTTCATCATTGGCACAAAAACATTGCAGCAGGATTCATGGTGTCAGTCCTGAGAGGAGACTGTGTTCATCAGTAGGCTTTTTTTCTTCTTCTAGAAAAGTTGTAAATAGAGAATGCAAATAAACAAACAAACAAACAAATCATTCCCATCTCCTCTTCTTTAGGAGTGCCTGGAGAGGTGTTCCATGTATAGAAATTCTAATTCTATGGAAGTCTCTGCGTAGTCGAAGTCCCGCCCACCTCGGCCAACTCCTCAAGCTGTCAGTAGTATCATAAATGCTTAGTCAAGAATGGCTACAATGTAGAGGAGAAATGTTCACCTGAAATGCCTGTGGCCTGATAATAATGTCAAATATTCCAGTTAATCCAGGTTTGATAACAAAATTAATCAAAAACATAACATACAGTAAGTGATATCCTGAAAAAAATACCCCTCAGAGTTGCTTCTCAAGCAGTCTGTGGGTATATCTTGGAAGACAGTGTCCAGCATACCACAACAAGAAAACATCCTCAAACATGGAATCTCATTGTAGAGAGGAACCAATTGGGATAGGAGAAATCAGCTTCCTTTAGCCGTCTAAAGGTGTAGCTCTAAAGAGATGCATACAGTAGGTGGCTACTCATGTCAAATGTCCAATGATGCGTTTGGAGCTACCGCACAACGTCAATAGGAGCATATAGTAACTGACAGACATGAACACAACTCAAAATAAACCAGGAGATTCGTACTGTCCTTTTCAAATCAGAAGGATATCAATAAGATAACAAAATCATGATATCATCACAATGAATAATGATAATGATAGTCAGGAGTGTGTGTGTGTGGCCATTGGCAGTTCAGTTCCAGGTGCACAACAGAGGTCAGAGCATCAGAGGTTATTCTGGTTGTATCCAGAGCACTGTTCCACTCTTCCACCCTGAGCCCTGCTACAGACCCTCCAGTCCTACAGGTTCTCCCCAGGCTGGTACTGGGGCTCAGTGGAGGTGAAATAGTCTTCCAGAAAGCCCTGCAGGTACTCAAAGGTGGGCCGCTCCTCGGCGTCCTTCCTCCAGCAGGTCAACATGAGGTCGTGGAGGGACTCAGGGCACTCAGCTGGACAGGGCATCCTGTAACCACGCTCCACCTGGTCCAACACCTCCCGATTCACCATGCCTGGGGGAGGGAGGAGGGGAGGAAGAGGGAGATGGAGACAGAGAGAGAGGGTAAAGGGAGAGAAGAGAACACAAACATTAATATACAGGAACCATTCGCAGGCACAGAATGATGACCCCAAAGATACTGCGTCAACCTTCATGGTTTCAAAGGTTAACAGTGTCATCACATAGGAAGTCTTGCTTGCCAGCACTGTGTGTCTTCGGCAAGAAGTCAAGGGACGTGCTCTGAGAGGGATAAGCAATTCCATCACATATGGAATCTGTTCACTAAGTGACATTTTAGAAGAGTCATGGTAGCTACCTGGATATGGGACTCTGCCTTTGGTGGCCAGCTCGGTCAGCAAGACCCCGAAGGACCAGACGTCAGACTTGATGGTGAAGCGGCCATACAGTGCAGCTTCTGGGGCTGTCCACTTGATGGGGAACTTTGCTCCTGCAACAAGAAAGAGAGACACACATTAAACTAGAGAAATCTCAGTAATGTCTGAGGACAGCATTCCAATTTGTCTGAAAACCGAAAGATTAAGAGTGAGGTGAGTGAGACAAACAGGAGAGAGGTGATAGACAATAGAAAGAGAGAGATGGTAATCAGCGCCCTCTAGTGGTCTTACCCTGCCTGGCGGTGTACTCGTTGTCCTCTATGAGACGGGCCAGGCCGAAATCAGCCACTTTACACACCATGTTGTCTCCCACTAGGATGTTGGCAGCCCTTAGGTCTCTGTGGACGTAGTTCATCCTTTCTACGTACGCCATCCCTGAGGCAATCTGAAGAGGAGACACAGGTTTTGGTTTAACTGAAACAGACAGTGTGTGTGTGTTGGCACTTAGACAGTATTTACCATCTCTAAACTCTCTTACCTGTGAGGCCATGTCCACCAGCTGAGGAAGGCGGAGCATCTTGCCCATGTCTCCCTTCAGGAAGTCCAATAAGCTTCCTTGTCCCATGTACTCAGTAATAATATAGATGGGCTCTTCAGACACCACAGCGTAGAGCTGGACAAGCTTCTCATGTCTCAGCTTCTTCATGACCTGAGCCTCCTGGAGGAAGGCCTCGGGGGACATGGTACCGGTCTTCAGGGTCTTGATTGCTACCCGTGTCGTACCATTCCACGTGCCTTCACAGACGAAAGTTACACAGCTAGTTATGTCGTTGTAGTAACAATTGTCATCAGATCATGTTTTCAAAACTGTCAAATAACACCAACTGCCAAGGAATGTGTTTTTGATGCAATGATAAATGCACTCTATAGACATTCGAGGTCCTCTACATGGCAATACTCCCTGCTTTGTCTGAGTGGATCAGCTGGTTTAGGGAGTCGGCTGAAGATCAGAAGAATCACACTGATTCCTACAGTAGCTGATTAAATCCCAAAGACAGTAGTGATAGTGGACAGAGACTGTCTTACCCATCCAGACCTCTCCGAAGCATCCCTGTCCCAGTTTGAGGTCGAGGCGGAGGGAGTCCCTGGGGATCTCCCAGGCATCACGGGCCAGGCCCTGGGTCTGAGGCTTAAGTACGGGACACACCTCCGTCAGACAGTGGCACAGTCCGTCTGCATACTCTGAGAGGAAGGGAAGAAAACATGGTGAGCTCCAATATCATCTTCTGGTAGTGTTACTGTTATTGGTTCTTCACATGTACAGAGTCTCCTTTTCTCTTCTTGTTTAGAAGGAATGACTTACTGTGGTAGTGAGCGACAAGCTGCTGTAGGTTGTTAAACTGAGTGCGTGAGGTGATGTAGAACCCTCCACTGTCCAGCTTCCTGATCTTGTAATGTTTCACGTTCAGCCCTTTAGTGTTGTCATAGTCCAGGACTGACAGACAGTAGGCACCTGGGGAGAGGAACATAAGAGAGGAAATCAGTAAAGAAAGCAAGATAACCTTGGGGTGGAAATATTGCTTCATCCTTTATTCTTCAATCCATTAGCTGATGCCTTTAGCGACTTCTCCTCTTCCTGGGTTCCAAGGGAAGAGTAGTTTGAATGTGTCCTTTTGCGTTCACAAGTTCCTTTCCCTTGTGACAGGTCCCACAAAAACTAAACTGTAGCCAGTCTGCCACCAGAGGGCAGCACCAGCCCAGTGAGCCAGCCTGATGAGTGAACTCAAAGCCCCACTGGGAATGCCCCCTTCTTCCCTCTCTGTTTGAACTAGGCGGTAGGGCCTGTGGTTGTCGAACGTTGCAGATAGAGATGTCATGAAAAGTGCCAACATGATTCCTTATTCTACATGTTATCTAGAGGCATGTTTGTTCCAATAACATATTTCTATCCGAATACTTCTTCCCCTCCATTGTGCCCTGCTGAACACGCCCCTGGCTCCACAATGACCTACTTCTGTCCCACTCAGTCACCGAGTCCTCCCCACTGCTCCCACTCAGTTACCGGCAGCGTAGTCCCCTGTAGCTCAGTTGGTAGAACATGGCGCTTGCAACGCCAGGGTTGTGGGTTCGTTTCCCACGGGGGGCCAGTATGAAAATGTATGCACTCACTAACTGTAAGTTGCTCTGGATAAGAGCGTCTGCTAAATGACTAAAATGTAAAAAAAAAAAAAAAAAAAAAAAAAAAAAAACTGTGAAACAGCTACTTTAAAAGAACATGGTTACACAGCTACACTGCTTCATCCCCAGAAAAGGACAATGCCAATGGGCCGGCATTCCAATATGGTCTTAATTGACAGTGGAGACACTTTGGTGTAATCTGTGATGTGTTTCCACTGGAGATGCTAGGCTCAGACACTCACCTTTGGTGGTCTCGCTCTCTCTCACCAAGAACGTCCCTTTCCTGTTCTCCAAACCCAAGAGGAGCCGCTCCGAGTCGCGACGTGTGATCTTCCCAAAATACCACCTAGGGAAGAGAGGGGAGAAAGCACGAGACACAGGGACCAGGTTCAGAGGAGGGAGGAAAAGGTGTGGCTGTGTGAGAGAGAGAGAGAGAACCGCCCGTGCTGGCTTCTGAAAATAAGTGACTTAAACTCCTTCTGTGCATGCCCCAATCAAAGAAGTATTGCATTCTGATTACTGCCCCTTACCTGGAAGCCATAGGCAATCTGAGATGACTGGTAGGATAAAGGTGAGAAATGGAATCATTACAGAGGTTAATTTGTGTGTGTTATTATCATGTGTGTCTATGCATGTCAGCTTGTACAGTATGTACACCTTCAAGGTGCATTCCATTTACAATTAAATACAGAGAGAGAGATTTACTCTTCTGCCTGGATGGAGTCAGAGGGAGCCACATAATTGCTGGGGATGTAACCGCTTTCTCCCGTAGTCAGAGATCGAGCCAGCCACCAGTCCCCTTCTCTGTGGAGACAAGAACGGAACAGAATCTCACTGACGTTCTACTTTACACAGTGATTCTACTTCACGTGGAGTGATTCTAAAGACAGTACTCAGTGAAAAACGAACACACATTCCTAATGAGTGGACTCAACAACAGGAGGAGATTACAGGGAGGTTTCCTGGACTGGTCCTAGGAAATCAGCCCTACAACTCCTAGGAATACTAATGGAATGGATCCACAGGGGATTCAAACACCAACGTGTACCATGACACCATTAACCAAATGCAGGGAAGTTATCATCATGTGAACAAGCTACTATGATGCGTTAGTGACATGAACACACTGGGACACACAAAGACAACAGAAGCTTCACTAACCTGCTGTTCAACTTTCTCCTAAATACAATTATGAAGGTATGCAATGGAGAAAAAGTTTGGGGAGATAGAGAGGAGATGTGAAGGGGGTGGGTGGGGTTAAAAAAAAGAGACAGAAAGCATGTTAGCAAAGCCGATTTGTAGAGATACAGTGTACAGAACAGAATCATTACAACAACAGTAGTTATCCACCATCCCCTCATCCCAACACTACAGCGGAAGCTTTAGGCCTAGCTCACCATTAAACCAGAAGTTAGTCTAAAACTTTTACATCAAAGCAGGATTTTCATTGATTGTATAGACAGAAGAGAGCTTATTTAAAACACAGAATAGAAAAGGTGATTCGAAGCACAAAAATGTGGTGTAGAACTAATATCAATATCAAGAAAGCATAATGATACATATCATTACATTGACATATTAGCCATTTAGCAGACACTCTTATCCAGAGCGACTTAAAGGAGCAATTAGGGTTAAGTGCCTTTCTCAAGGGCACATCGACAGATTTTTCACCTAGTTGGCTCGGGGATTCGAACCAGCGACCTTTCGGTTACTGGCCCAACGCTCTTAACCGCTAGGCAACCTGCCCCCCCTAAGCTACCTAAAGCTAAGACAATGCGTTTGGGTCATAAATGGGAAATAATAATGAAACATTATCGGGGGGTTCACTAGGCTTATGTGTTTGTCCTGGCAACACTGTAGGTCCTGTGTGGCTCAGTTGGTAGAGCATGGTAGAGGTTGGTAGAGGTTGGTAGAGCTTGGTAGAGGTTGGTAGAGGTTGGGTAGAGCATGGTAGTGTTGGTAGAGGTTGGTGGAGCATGGTAGTGTTGGTAGAGCATGGTAGAGGATGGTAGAGGTTGGTAGAGCATGGTAGAGGTTAGTAGAGGTTAGTAGAGCATGGTAGAGGTTGGTAGAGCATGGTAGAGGATGGTAGAGCATGGTAGTGTTGGTAGAGGTTGGTAGAGGTTGGTAGAGGATGGTAGAGCATGGTAGAGGATGGTAGAGGTTGGTAGAGCATGGTATAGGATGGTAGAGGTTGGTAGAGGTTGGTAGAGCATGGTAGAGGATGGTAGTGTTGGTAGAGGATGGTAGAGCTGGTAGAGGATGGTAGAGCATGGTAGAGGATGGTAGAGCATGGTAGAGGTTGGTAGAGCATGGTAGAGGTTGGTAGAGCATGGTAGAGGACGGTAGAGGTTGGTAGAGGATGGTAGTGTTGGTAGAGGATGGTAGTAGAGCATGGTAGAGGATGGTAGTGTTGGTAGAGCATGGTAGAGCATGGTAGAGGTTGGTAGTGTTGGTAGAGGTTGGTAGAGCATGGTAGAGGTTGGTAGAGCATGGTAGAGCATGGTAGTGTTGGTAGAGCATGGTAGAGCATGGTAGAGGTGGGTAGAGGATGGTAGAGCATGGTAGAGGTTGGTAGAGCATGGTAGAGGTTGGTAGAGCATGGTAGAGGTTGGTAGAGGATGGTAGAGGTTGGTAGAGGTTGGTAGAGCATGGTAGAGGTTGGTAGAGGTTGGTAGAGGTTGGTAGAGGATGGTAGAGGATGGTAGAGGATGGTAGAGGTTGGTAGAGCATGGTAGAGATGTGATGGTAGAGGTGGTGGTAGAGGTTGGTAGAGGATGGTAGAGGATGGTAGAGAGGGATGTGGTAGAGCATGGTAGTAGAGGTTGGTAGAGGGCATGGTAGAGGTTGGTAGAGGATGGTAGTGTAGAGGTGGTAGAGCATGGTAGAGCTGGAGATGTTGGTAGAGCATGGTGAGGATGAGATGGTAGAGGTTGGTAGAGGTGGTAGAGGTTGGATGTGTAGAGTGGGAGTAGATGGTAGAGATGGTAGAGGTGGTAGTAGAGGTGGTAGAGATGGTAGAGGTGGTAGAGATGGTAGAGATGGTAGAGGTGGTAGAGGTTGGTAGAGCATGGGATAGAGTTGGTAGAGGTTGGTAGAGTGGTAAGGTGGTAGAGTGTGGTAGAGCATGGTAGAGGTTGGTAGAGGTTGGTTAGAGCATGGGTAGAGGATGGTAGAGTGGTAGGTGGTAGAGCGATGGTAGAGGATGGTAGAGCGTATGGTAGAGCATGGTAAGGGTAGATGTGGAAGCATTGGTAGAGCATGGTAGAGGATTGGTAAGAGGATGGTAGAGCATGGTAAGATGGTGTGGTAGAGGTTGGTAGAGGTTGGTAGAGCATGGTAGAGATGCATGGTAGAGTGGTAGAGCATGGTAGAGCATGGTAGAGCATGGTAGAGGTTGGTAGAGGTTGGTAGAGCATGGTAGAGCATGGTAGAGGATGGTAGAGGTTGGTAGAGCATGGTAGAGGATGGTAGTGTTGGTAGAGGATGGTAGAGCATGGTAGAGGATGGTAGAGCATGGTAGAGGTTGGTAGAGCATGGTAGAGGTTAGAGCATGGTAGAGTGGTATGTTGTAGAGGTGGTGGTAGAGCATGGTAGAGCATGGTAGAGGTTGGTAGAGGATGGTAGAGCATGGTAGAGGATGGTAGAGCATGGTAGAGGTTGGTAGAGCATGGTAGAGGTTGGTAGTTGGTAGAGGTTAGAGAAAGAGAGTGTAGAGCATGGTAGAGATGGTAATGTTGGTAGAGATGGTAAGCATGGTAAGGATTGGTAGAGCATGGTAGAGGTTGGTAGAGCATGGTAGAGGTTGGTAGAGTTGGTAGAGGTTGGTAGAGCATGGTGAGGTTGGTAGAGCATGGTAGAGGTTGATAGAGCATGGTAGAGGTTGGTAGAGCATGGTAGAGGTTGGTAGTGTTGGTAGAGCATGGCGCTCGCAACGCCAAGGTTGTTCGATTCCCACGGGGGACCAGTATGAAAAATGTATGCACTCAGTACTGTAAGTCGCTCTGGATAAGAGCGTCTGCTAAATGACAAAAATTTAAAAATTTAAACACTATGAGTAAAGCTGCATCAGCTTCAGTGGCAGATATAATAATAATAACAACAACAACAACAACAACAACCCTCTATCATTCTATTGTTCTCAGCTCAGGCCTTCTAGGTCAACACTTTGTTATAGCTGCAGTATTGGGGGCTAACTAGAATAATATGGTCCACTGCACTTCTATTGATTAGAGCAAGCCTAAAATTTGTAAAAGCATCACGGATTGACTCCCCATGATTGGGTTACATTATCAGAATGAATGAACAGTCATTTTTATCATTTGAACACGTACATTTTAGTTATTTAGCAGACAGTCTTATCAAGTAATCAGTGCATTCAACTAAGGTAGAGGGAAAAAAGGGGCTAGTCGCAACAAAAGAAATATCAGCCTCCAAGTAGAAGCACCAGTGAGACATACAGCTGTGCTTTTGTGAATGAGCATGAGAAAATAGTAAATCTAGAACAAAAACCTGTCAGCTCACACAAAACAGATCCTTATTAAGGGAGCCTGTTCCTATGGTTACGGGCTGTACAGAGGGGGTTTGGGGGCAGAACAGCCAGCCAGCGCAGCGAGAGATCAGACATGCAGAGTACAGTGAGTGTGTGTGTGTGTGTGTGTGTGTGTGTGTGTGTGTGTATACAATGGGTGGGTCTAATCCTGAATGCTGATTGGTTTAAACCGCATTCCAGCCGGTGTCTATTCCACAAGTTACCACCAGCTAAATCTATGACGTTAAAATGTCTATTTACTCTGTTCCATCTGACTGCCCAATCCACTGTCTCATCAGCCCAGCCAGGCACTTTATAAACTTGATCTCCACTATAAAAAGCATCTAGACATTATCTCACATTTCTTTTAGACTAACATTTAGTTTTCAACGGCAGAGATTTGTGTAAACCTTCCGGTCTGTCTCTCCGACATTTGCAACATTGTTTCAATATTCAAATTCGATCTCCAGCTGTCACATAGTAATGAACGTGTCGGGACGAGACAGACAGGCAGGAAGCTTTTCTCAGCCAGTCGAAATCATGAATCAGCATCACTTTTATGGATATATACAAAGAAATATCAATAGAAAACAGGTAAAACTTAATGAAGTGCAGCTAGTTTGCAGTCTTTCCAGCTTCAGTTTGAAATGATTGTGTTAGCTGTGTTGTTGGCTAGCTCCTCTGAACAACAGTGTCTTGGCGAGAGAGCACATTTTCTATGACAGGTGAAATCGCACATCATTAGCTCATTGTTATGGATGTATCCAAATTAATGTCACTAGAAAACAGCTTAAACAAATGCAAATGCAGCTACTTTGCTGTTATTCTGGCTGCACTGTTTGACGTGACTGTATGTTAGCCGTAGTTGGCTAGCTAGCAAGCAAGGGATAAGAACATTGCCAGCCAGTATGGCAATAGAACAAACGACTGGGTCGCGTCTCCGGCAACCAAACGGATAGAAGGAAGAACAACCAGCCGGCTTGGGTAGCAACCCTAGATTTGTGTCGGGACTATCTTGTGGAAGGATGAAATAGTATGAATAAATTCATCAAAATAACGTTTTTAATGAAAATATGTCAATCATTATATAAATATGTTGGTAACCCGATGTATAAAAGTGATAATGCCCTCGAAGCCGGTGTTTGGAGGATATATTATATCCTCCAAACCCTGGCTTCCCGGGCATTATTACTAAATGTACGTGGGGGGGTATGGCTGTGTCTATCCCTGTAGGTGTGACATTATCCTCATCCCAGTGTGTGTGTGTGTGTGTGTGTGTGTGATGTTGCCTCACGTGTTGTTTACTATCTGTAGCCGCTCGCCCTTCCTGAAAGACAGATCGGAGGCAGTGCGAGACTCGTAGTCATACAGTGCCACGAATGTTGTCACTCCTCCTGTGGGGGAGAGAGCAGACAGAGACTTATCTCAGTGGAGAGGATCATGAAATATTAAGTGATATAGCAATACCATGTTTAAAAATACACAATATGTACAATTCATATATCCCGAATAAGCTGTGTTTCAAATTGTACTGAATAAGATTTGCATATACTACAGTAGTCAGTAGCATCGAATAAATGGCATCCAATGGAGCTCTATCCGTTTTATATAACAATTATTTCTTTAGTGAAATTAAATGATTTAAATGCTCCTCTGGGCGGCAGGCAGGTAGCTTAGTGGTTAAGAGCGTTGTGCCAGTAACCGAAAGGTCGCTGGTTCTAATCCCTGAGCCGACTAGGTGAAAAATCTGCCGATGTGCCCTTGAGCAAGGCACTTAACCCTAATTGCTCCTGTAAGTCGCTCTGGATAAGAGCGTCTGCTAAATGACTAAAATGTAAAATTTTTATAATTTATTTATATGCCATACTAGGTTATTAGTGGGTTATCTGGGCCCTAGTGTCTTACCTGCGAGTGTCCCTCTGTTAGGAGACGTGATGCTACTGGTGGACTCCGCGCCCCCAAACAGGGCCAGCTCCGGGGTATTGGTCATGGGCTGAGTGGGCTGGCGTGTCCCATCCACTGCAGGGCTCCGATTGGGTGTGAGGGTATGCTGGGCAGGGCTGAAGTTGTGGCTGCCGCCCCCTCCTCCCGAGCTGATGTCTTTGGGCTTGCTCTTGGTTCCCCCCATGGCCTAGGCCTATAAGACAAACAGAGAGACGAATAAGCTTCTGCAATTCAGGAAAAAATATATACTAAAGTGTATATTTAAATAGAACACAGTTCACTAGTTAAACCTAGTTCTTCTCCTTTCTACATGGATGGTAAAGGCTTAGAATAGCTACAGTATTTTTAGCCAACTACCCTCTCACACTAGGCCTCCCCTCCTAGGCAGCTTAACCGAGGGCAGGGCCAAGAGTGGAAACTGAAGTACATGTGAAGTCATACAGTTGCTACGTTTTAACCACAGCAATACAGTGTCATGTGCAGTAATAATACATGCTAAACCTAAGCTTGTAGCTGCCACTCCTCAGCTACCACTCAGCCACGGCTATGAGACCCTGCCCCACTCCCATCCTCCACCCCCTGCCCCCCCCCTCCACCACCTGCCTCCACACCCACCTATCCACAACTAAATACACAACCCAGCACAGCAAACAGAGAGGCTTCTTCCCCCCAAGAGAGATCATTGAAAATGAAATGTATGAAATGGTGTTACAGAAATGACAGAATGTTCAAGAACATGCTAAGAGAGCAAGAAATCAGCTACTAAAGTATATATGGACATGGATGTGTATGCCATCATGGCTTTCATCATGGCTTTGTGCCACTGTGTGGCCTCCAGTATTCAGTGGCAGAGCACATATTGTTCTCCGCCATCATGGTTTTGCAGTGGCACTACAACACTAGTCGATGGCAAAGGGCGTAGTCACTGTCCTCAGTTGATTTTACACCAATTAATGAGTCAGGCTCAATAGACTCCCTCCCAGTCAGATCAAAGGGCTGGTTGTACAGTATGGTACCCAAAGGGCTGGTTGTACAGTACCCAACCTAACCTCTTATTCACACCCTCCTACCACCCAGTGAATAGTGTGACTTGATGCCGTGTCATCGCTCGAGCTCATTTGCTCCAGATGAATGCTGTGATCATGTTGCCCAAGGTGACTCAGTCAATCTGGCCATGTGGCTACATATGGGCTCATAAACATAAAGGCATAATGACACATAAACATAATGGGCTAGAGTTCAATTGAGCATAAATATTTACATGTTGCTGAATCAGTGTGTATAAGTACTGTAGCAGCTGTAAACAGAACAGTTCTCTCTTGAGATAAATAAAGGAGATGTTCTCAATGAGAATAACCTGGATGAATAAAGGAGGCGTTATCTCAATGAGAATAACCTGGATGAATAAAGGAGGCGTTATCTCAATGAGAATAAACTGCAGTTCCACAAGAGATTTTGTCAAGAGTATACCAATGACATATGAGGAGTGTTTACACTATTTAACACACAATTAAAGGGATACTTCGCAATTTTGGAAAAATCCCCAGTCAGTTGAACTCGTGGATACCATTTTTATGTCTCTGTGTCCAGTATGAAGGAAGTTAGAGGCAGCTTCGCAAGCTAATGCTAACTACCCATAGACTTCCAGTCATTGGACTAATGCTAGTTAGCAACTTCCTTCAAATTGCACGCAGAGACATAAAAATAGCCAAAATCATTGCCAAAATCCTGAAGTATCCCTTTAAGGTGCAAAGATCGCTTGAAGACTCTTGCTCTCTACTCCTCCTCAGCTTCCTGCCTGCATTCTTAGAGACTCCAGTTATAAACACATTAAGTATCTCAGTCTTCTCTAATAACAGCTTAGTGCACGGAAATCATTACACTATGTCCAGGATAATTTAGGGACTCAACCCACCACTACTGTCATGGATGGATATAGGCCTAGCAGTGGGGGTTTGCTTGGGATAGATACTAATTTGGAGAGAAGAGGCATGTTTTTTCAAAGTAGTAGTCACCTAAGCCCCAGGCTAGAAAGTGTCAATGTTGATTAGAAATTTGGTAATTACTGGTAGCGTCTCTTTTTGTTTTTGCTTGTCTGGGGTCAGACAGGGCTATGACCATAGAAATATAACCCCTAGAACAGACATCTCTATGGTTATGGTAGAAGTAGGTGGGCTAATGAGCCCTATGCTGAATCCACTGTTACCATTACTAGTGCTATTCATACTAATGAGACTACAACCAAGGGCTGTGACAGTCATGGAATTTTACATTTACATTTAAATTTTAGTCATTTAGCAGACACTCTTATCCAGAGCGACTTACAGTCAGTGCATACATTTTCATACTGCATACATTTTCAAATGACGGTTATTGGTCAGCCAAATGACCGCGGGGGTTACCGTAATAACCTGTTGAATAGCATTCATTTTCCTTTTCTTTTTCGCAGAAACGGACTCAACCGCACAAATGCTCGGCCGCCCCGTCTTCAGTGAGCTGTTCACGCCACACAGTTAGGACAGTTATTTTATTTGCATGACTGCCTTCATCCATAACCGGCAGTTACACGGTTATTGTGCCAGCCCTACTACAGCTACTTTCAATCTTGTGGATCTAACTATGGAGTCAGTCAGTGTGTGGTAGTGGTCTCATTCAACAGACATGTGTCTTACTGGTAAGCCTGCTAAGCTAAAGCAGAGCAGCAAGGCTAGGCTAAGACACCAAGGCTGAGACAGCAAGGCTGAGACAGCAAGGCTAAAACAGCAAATCTGAGACAGCAAGGCTGAGACAGCAAGGCTAAAACAGCAAGGCTGAGACAGCAAGGCTAAAACAGCAAGGCTAAAACAGCAAGGTTAAGACAGCAAGGCTGAGACAGCAAGGCTAAAACAGCAAGGCTGAGACAGCAAGGCTAAAACAGCAAGGCTGAGACAGCAAGGCTAAGACAGCAAGGCTGAAAAAATGTATGGCACACAAAGAAAAACATGCCTCTCTCAATTTGTGAGACCCATCCGTGCTTCACGTCTGTCAGAGGACACACACACACACCTGGCAGGCACCCAGCCTCTTGCTGCTTATCAAACATAGGAGATTCCAATGGATGGAATGTACACTACACAGCAGCAGCCCGTCTAGCTTGCCATCCTCCATCTTTCTCACACAAACATTTTAATGAGGGGGAAAAGCTGAACCAGCGGGGCTCATTACATTTCTAGCCCAGCCGGTGTCGGGGGGGGGTGCTGGTGGTTAGAGCATGGGGGTCAATGAGGATAGAGAGGCGGTCCATATGTCACCCAAGGGTATGTCTGTACAACGGGGTAGTTCTACTGTACAATAGCTAACAGTCTGGCCAGGTTAGAGCGCACACACACTCGGGCAGACACAAAGAGGACGGGTGGCACAGCAAGCCGGTCTTTGTCTTTTGTGTGTCTCATCCACTAGACTGGTTGCATGGTTAATAAGCCATTTCCTCTCCCATCTCACCGTCTCACTCAGTCAAATAAACCCTTCATATTTCACACAACTGGCACTTTTATGATGGAGTAGTTATTTGAACGATATGTCGCAGGTATTTATTTAGTAATATACATTATCGCTTGTGAATATGCTGAAACCATGTTATTAGTGGCAATCAACGTAATTTCTCAATACTAAAATCAGCTTTAGACTATAGCATGCAATATATATAGCAACTTAAAATAAAACAACATTTCATCCCATTAACATCTAGCCAGAGGTGTTCTATCACAATACAGTACTCCAAAACAAAACTCCAACAAAGCTTGTTTGTCAGATCTGACCAAACCTGACCAAATCTAGTCTCAGATAGCTGAGTGAAGTAAACATCAGATAGGTCTCTAAGTGTAGCTCAGTTGGTAGAGCATGGCGCTTGCAACGCCAGGGTTGTGGGTTCGTGTCCCACGGGGGGTCAGTATGAAAAATGTATGCACTCACTAATTGTAAGTCGCTCTGGATAACAGCGTCTGCTAAATGACTAAAATGTAAATGTAAGTCTTGGCTCTGGGGCATTCCACCCATCCTCTATTACACTACTGGTCAAACAAAGAAGTCTATTGTCAGCTCACACTCACAGCGAACCCTGCAATCAAACACAATATGCCTGATTCACATCATATACACTACCAGTCAAAAGTTTGGACACACCTACACCTAGGGTTTTTCTTTATTTTTACTATTTTTTACATTGTAGAATAGTAGTGAAGACATCAAAACTATGAAATAAAACATATGGAATCATGTAGTAACCAAAAAAAGTGTATTCTTCAAATAGCCACCCTTTGCCTTGATGACAGCTTTGCACACTCTTGGCATTCTCTCAACCAGCTTCATGAGGTAGTCACCTGGAATGCATTTCAATTAACAGGTGTGCCTTCTTAAAAGTTAATTTGTGGAATTTCTTTCCCTCTTAATGTGTTTGAGCCAATCAGTTGTGTTGTGACAAGGTAGGGGGGGAGTATAGAGAAGACAGCCCTATTTGGTAAAATACCAAGTCCATATTATGGCAAGAACAGCTCAAATAAGCAAAGAGAAACGACAGTCCATCATCACTTTAAGACATGAAGGTCAGTCAATACGGAACATTTCAAGAAATTTGAAAGTTTCTTCAGGTGCAGTCGCAAAAACCATCAAGCGCTATGATCAAACTGGCTCTCATGAGGATCGCCACAGGAATGGAAGACCCAGAGTTGCCTCTGCTACAGAGGATACGTTCATTAGAGTTACCAGCCTTAGAAATTGCAGGCCAAATAAATGCTTCACAGAGTTCGAGTCACAGACACATCTCAACATCAACTGTTCAGAGGGGACTGTGTGAATCAGGCCTTCATGGTCAAATTGCTGCAAAGAAACCACTACTAAAGGACACCAATAAGAAGAAGAGACCTGCTTGGGCCAAGAAACACAAGCAATGGACATTAGACAGGTGGAAATGTGTCCTTTGGTCTCGAGTCCAAATTTGAGATTTTTGGTTCCAACCGCCGTGTCTTTGTAAGACGCGGTGTGGTTGAACAGATGATCTCCGCATGTGTAGTTCCCACCGTAAAGCATAGAGGAGGAGGTGTTATGGTGTGGGGATGCTTTGCTGGTGACACTGTCTGTGATTTATTTAGAATTCACACTTAACCAGCATGGCTACCACAGCATTCTGCAGCGATACGCCATCCCATC